ACACACACACGCATACACACATCCCCTTAACTGGAAAAGTCTGCCTCTCTCCCTGGTCTGTAGGTACACCCCGATTCCTGCAGACTCCAGGTCCATGATCCGAGTCCTTCTCGGTTGGTCAACCCTTCCTCAGCCAGCCTCTCTAGGGTTCCGCCACCGGGTGGGGGAGGGGGCCCAGCCTGGCACCCCACCCCCACTCCAGCCGAGGGCTCAGGTCTCCAACAACAGAACCAGAGACACTCAGCAACACTGGAACCCATTTGGGGGGCCTGGGGCCCCTCATCCCAAGCCGGGAGGGCTTTGGGGGAGGGGTGCAGCCCCTGGTAGACTTGTCGTGAGGCCAAAGGGGCCGAGGGGTGCCAGGGAGGTGGGGACCAACCTTGTAGGGGAAGGCACGAGTGCGGTTCTCTTTCCCCCACTGGGGGGGCCACGGGGCCGTCGGAGGGGTGGGAGACCTCGGAGGCAGAGCCTTTGGTACCGGGGTCGGGGCAGGACAGCGTGTGTCAGCAGGGGCACCATGGCCACCATCCAGTCGGAGACCGACTGTTACGACATCATTGAGGTGCTGGGCAAGGGCACCTTTGGGGAAGTGGCCAAGGGATGGCGGCGAAGCACGGGTGAGATGGTGGCCATCAAGATCCTCAAGAACGACGCCTACCGCAGCCGCATCATCAAGAACGAGCTGAAGCTGCTCCGCTGTATGCGGGGCCTGGACCCCGACGAGGCCCACATCATCCGCTTCCTCGAGTTCTTCCACGACGCCCTCAAGTTCTACCTGGTCTTCGAGCTGCTGGAGCAAAACCTCTTTGAGTTCCAGAAGGAGAACAACTTCGCACCCCTCCCGGCCCGTCACATCCGGACGGTCACCCTGCAGGTGCTCAGAGCCCTGGCCCGGCTCAAGGAGCTGGCCATCATCCACGCCGACCTCAAACCCGAGAACATCATGCTGGTGGATCAGACCCGCTGTCCCTTCAGGGTCAAGGTGAGTGCAGCTCCTGGGGGGGGCACCCTGGTGACACGGAGGTCTTTCTCATCTCAGCTCCTGGACTCGAGCTCTCCCTCCCTGCTGGCCCCACATCCCTCCATCTCTCCATCCCAGACCTGAGGCTTCTCCTGCGCCTCCTCTAGGCCCTGACGTCTCCCCATCCTGTTCCAACCTCAGTCCCTCTGGTCCTGTCCTGTCCTGGTGGGGATGCCATTCTCGTGGTAGACAGAGTCACCATCCTCTCCGGGAACCAGGTCCCAGTGGTCAGGGCTCTGAATTCAGATTAGTAACCACTTCATGACGCTGCCGTCTGGGGATGGACCGTCAGGAACAGCTCAATGAAAAGAACCTCAGAGGGAAGTCAGGGCCTCAACAGAGACAGAGAGAGCAGCTGTCCAGGGTGACCCTCAAGCACCTGTCATGTACCCAGGGCCCGTGTGGGGTGTCAGCAGTGCCTGGCGGTGAAGACAGAAGAAGACCCGGCCTTCAGGGTGGTGGTGTCCTTCTGTTGGGTGACATAGAGACAAAGATAGAGAGGGACACAGAGACAAGAGACAAACCATGCAAGAAGCAATTGCCAAGGGGTGTGGCTAGTGTGGAGCAGCGGCCTGGCAGGCATGGACTCACTCGGGTTCCTTTCCCAGCACCACCGTGGGGGAAGAGAGGGAGGGAGGATTGAAGAATGGCAGGGAGGTGAAGCCCCGTGTTCATTCACTCCCTCTGCCAGGCCCCTACGGAGTGAGTACCAGGCACTGTTCTCGGCCTCTGCAGATGCTGCACGGAACAAAACAGACAAAATCCTTGACCTCATGGGCCTGGCCTCTTTAGTTGGGGAGAAAAACACAATGAACTTGATGAAAGAGTAAAATAACGTGAGATGGTGTTAACAGTAAGAGCAAAAAGCAGAGAGCTAGGAGGGGGGGAGAGTGGCAGGAGGCCTTACGGAGAAGGTGACGTTGAGGAAAGACCTAAAGGAGGTGAGGGAACCTTGTAGACATGTGGCGCAGAGCATCCAGGCAACGGGAAGTGGTTCAAAGGCTCTGAGCAGGGGACGTGTCTGGCTTAAGGAACAGTGAGGAGGCCCATGTGGCTGGAGGAAGGTGAGTGGGGTGCAGGTGAGGGCACGGAGTGGCAGGGGCAAATGTTGGAGCTTGGTGGAGTAGGGGGAGGATTTCGGCTTTTATCAAGGGACGTGGGTGTAGGCAGGAGATCGGACTCAAGTGGACAGATGGAGGGTGGACAGGTGGTGCAGGGAGACCAGCGAGGAGGCCAGGAGGGGACCAGGGTGGGGACTGCAGATGGAAGGCAGAGTAAGCAGATTCTGGGTTCGTTTAGAAGTGGAGCTAAACAAGGTGTGGGTAAGGGGAAGAGGAGCGTCCTAACCCTCAGTCATGAAGTCTGTTTTCCTCTTGGTGCTGGAGATGGAACCCAGGGCCTTGCATGTGCTAGGCAGGTGCTCCACCACTGAGCTACATCCCCAGCCCTGGGCACAAGTTCTAGTGCAGAGAGTCAGACACAGAGCCAGACACACACGGGACAGAAGGGCTGGAAGACAGGAACATCCATGGGGAAGGAAGTCTCACTGAGACAGAGTCCAGGGCTGGGTGCAAATGGACTCCAGGTGAGAGACAGCAGGGGAGGCGTGGAGGGCTGTCTGCCACTCCCCTGCCACCTGCTCCTCCTCTCAACAGGTGATTGACTTTGGCTCAGCCAGTATTTTCAGTGAGGTGCGCTATGTGAAAGAGCCGTACATCCAGTCTCGCTTCTACCGGGCCCCTGAGATTCTGCTGGGGCTCCCCTTCTGTGAGAAGGTGGATGTGTGGTCGCTGGGCTGTGTCATGGCTGAACTGCACCTGGGCTGGCCCCTCTACCCCGGCAACAAC